AAATGATAATTATTTATTTCTCGATTGTATTTATATACATATTAGTGAGTCTTAAATAGTAGTTTATGGAAGTGTTATTATCTGGTGCTGAGTATCGATATGCTCCCGTCGATCGGTTCGAGTCGTGGCAACCCCGATGGAACCACCCTCCTCCACTCAACTCGGTGTTATATCGACGTCACTTTACCGCCGGTTTGTTACTTTCTGCTTGGGGAGTGGCGATATCTTGTGCAAAAATCGCCACTGCCGATTAGCGTAACGAAACCCGCTCGACGTCGATCGTATCACCGCTGTGAACGGAGGAGCACTTACGGTCCACTTGGAAACAGATGCGCCGTAAGAGGAACGGTTCTTCTAAGTCTGTTTAATGTTCCCCACGATAATCTAGTTGAAATTTATTATCACCTTGTCAGTACGAATACTGTGATTGCTAATCCATGAAGCGACTCCAAAGACTACATAAAACGAAAATGTAATTGTTAATTATAACGCAGTAAAATTATGTAATCTTTTCAAATGAAAACTTACAGCACAGACACTTAAATAATGGTTCGACGGCATTGAACCTTTATTGTCTATAACTATAAAGAAAATCAGAGAAATCAGCAAAAGTCGGAGGAGAAGGCGATGTCATAAGAAATATCTCCCGGCTGATAGCGCGTGAACAAGCTGATGATCAAACGCCAACGGTTAACATTGAACAGACAACGGTCAGCTGTTTCCAGCGGTCCGGCCGCCATTTTGGTCCACGATTCGATCCAACGAACGATCCGAAAGCGCGTGTCGATTCATGCAGTGGTCACGATTCGTTGGGTGCATCTTGTAAATTCGAACGGCACGCGAGAACTGTATTTTACTTGCGCTTGCACGGAGCCCCACGCGCCACGTCCCCACCCGGATTTCCGTTTCCACCCGTTTCGTTCGAAGTCATTCCTGTAAGTTTTGTACGTGTCGCGCGAGCGAAGAACAGTCTCTTCTCCCCCCACCGCCCCTTCCGGCGGTCGATCCCGACCGCTCCCGACGAGGAACACAATTTACCGACCGGCATTTAGACGCGCTCGAATATTTCCCGGCTCGCCGCTTTAACCCTCGGATGGCCGACCCCTCGACGCCGCCTGGCACGCGTTCGTTCGCTCGCCCGCAACCCCCGACGTTCCCCGAACTTTCTTTTTGTACGGTGTCCACGGAATCAAACATGTTCGTTTGCTTAGAAGATAATAAAACCATTATTGTTTCACCTGTAACAGCATGTTTCTTCAGTTCTCGTCCGGTCACTTCATAACGCTTCGCTCTAGTCGAGTTTTCCTTATGGTCTTTCGTACAGTTTGTTCGTACCATTTGATTCTAGTTCAATCGTTTACCGGGTTCTAGTATTAACCTTTGAGTGTCGCGAACTTTTACGAAAATCTGAGTTTTACTGAATGGCAGGATTACGCTTTCGAATAGACAATGCGATTAGGACTTTCGAATGGTACATTATACAGTTGGGGTTCCTCTGTTTCTAGATGGGAACTAACTTTTCACTTTTGCTTATTAACACTAGAACTACCGTACCAGTCAGAATGACCGGTTTCGATTTTTTGTTTAGCAATCATTGACATCTTCGAAGCATTGAATACTCGAAATGATTTTGAAGATAAATAGTTTCAGTATTATAATGAATGTCTGAAGGAACTGAAAATAATCTATTACAATTTTCATGGGAATTGCATATTAATCGTATTAAATGCTCGGTAGTTCTAGTGTTAAATAGGAACGCTTGTCGCTCAAATGGTTAATACAACTTTTGGAGAACGTCCGTTTAGGAAGTTATCAAGATGTTCCAGGAAGAACACTTTTTGAATCGAAAATTGAATGAAGCATGGATTGATTCTAAAGACGTTATTGGAAGGAAATTTGTGTATCGCATATTGAGGAATGCAGAGAATCATTTCCGAGTGTTTAAAGATTGTGCCAACGGGCAGCGCGAACGACGTCACGTCTACGTGACACCGGCCTTCGAAATATTAAGCACTGAACGCACGGCTGGCCGTGGTCGAATTCATTTCCACTTGCTCGCTTTATCTCGGTGTATCGTGCAACCCTGTTGCCTTCTTCGGGCCACTTTCGCCTTTTCTTTTCACCAAACACCATTTCGTTGATTTAGCTTTTATCAATACGATCACATCCTCGTTTCACTCGAGATAATTTGAATTTGAGAATACTATGAATATTTCCTGCTTAAATAATATTTCCACCGCAAATAAATGGAAGAGTGCAGCAGGGTTAACGATTGATTTCGCGGAGCATTCGATAATTCATTTCCTCAACGGTTCGATTGTTGAAGGCTCGGGTCAACGCAGACCCGGCCGCCGCCATCCGAGGATTAACACGAGTCAAGGGAGGAGTAGAGTCGACGAAAATATATTCGATGTATGCACATGTGGGGATAGAGTGAGACGACAGGCGTGCATGCGCGAATGTATGTATGTGTGCGTGTCGCTGTATCGAGATTTACGAAATGTCGCGCAGGATGCGTCGGAAATGCATTTGCCGGAGTCCCGTTTGACGAGGAGCAGCCTCTCGTCCTCACCGGAAACGAGAACGCGCGGCGAGAGAGGACAACACGTTGTATGTAACGCTTTCGGTGTTCTGTGGCAAAACAAAGTCAGTCCTATGACGAGGCTAGTACGATAAGCAAAACTCTTTGCACTCGATGTTTCTTTCGATGTACGTTAAGTAACGGATCGGATTATTGAAATATAAGAGGTAATTTTGAAATGATGCGTACGGCTCTTATTTCGCGGTTAAATTCAGCCTCACTGTCCCCTGGATCCATTCACTGTTTCGAGGAATATTTCGATCGACGTTTTGTTGGCGATCGATGCCTTGCCAATGGGAAACTGGAAACAAGCCTTTCCTTTGATTATTCGTTATTTTATAATATATAATACATGCACGAGTAAGAATATTATATTTCATTTAATCCACTGCATTATATTCATTTAATATGTGTTACTCAAAGAATAATCGGATCGTCAATTTTTAGAGGAAATTGAGTTTCAGGAAATAAAGTTATTGTTATGGGTATGCATAATTAATACTTCCCCTTCAGCTCAAGATTCTTATCTCGTCTGCCCATTATTTTCTTTTCGGTATCTTCAGTGTTACCAGAGTCCTTTGGTTCCTTGGATCTGCTCGAATAGTCCTATAGAATCGCAGTTTCTGGGATTCCCAGTGATCCTAAGAAATCATCGAAGTCTCCGAAAAGTTGTCTCAAACTACACAGAAAATATTTAGATATTAATTATTGATCAACGAACTATTTAATAACTGTTGGTACACAACTGTAAATTGAACAGCACTTCAGATATTTGCTCGTAGATAGCGCCACTGCAACTTTCCATCGTTCGCAATGCATCGAGAACAATAAACGGTAATAACAAATATTGTACTTAACGATTAACATATAAAATCAGTTCGAGAACACTGAACAGATGATCTGATACTAATAAAGAAAAATTTAACTCTATTTTGTCCGCAAGTTAAAGCATTGATAATCAATAACAAAGAGTGCACTCTAATTTGTCACGTGAATTTCAGCCAACCGAATGAAAGAATGAAAGTTAAGAAAATTATCCAACTCGTTATATGTAAGTTACATATTCGTACACTGTTTATTGTTACGTAAATATCAACTGGAAATGAATATAGTTACTTTACAAATGATTGTAGATAACATTACCAACGGTTAATCATGTACGCACACTTTAGTGTGCCTTTAGTACATAGAAATCGCCGTTATGATCACCTTGCTGCATCTAGTTCCATTTCACACGCTGAACTGTCAAGAACAAGTAAGAAATTATTTCCTAGAAATTTGTCCTTAAGTTGATCCGAAACATAGTACGTGCATCTTTCTGTAACAAGTATACAAATTAGTATTTCATTCGGCGAAGAAGTCCCACATCTTGTTGTAAAACTGTACATCGAAATGCCTTCGTATTGGCTCTGTTTCGGGGCTATCGGCGGACATTGTGAGAAGCAGAAAACCTATCGCCATAGATCACTCATTAATGAAGACAACTCACCGCCTTTTCACAGCGGAATACCTGCTATCGATTAATGCCGTACAATCACTTTACAATTGAAACCAATTAAAAACATTCTCCCTAATCGAAATTATGATTTTAAATATACAGTGGATTAAACTGGGATTTCAGGATAATCTGCATATACAGGGTGACATGTAACTGGCGGTACAACCGGATAGGTTTCATCAGAATGGACATTTTCAATAATTCCTGTAATAATAAAGTTTATGGTTACTTTAGCCTTCTGTTTTATTACGTATTCTTAACTCTCAGTTACAGTAAACATTTCCGTGGCGCTGGAGGACTTTATCAACAAACTCCAATCGAGATAATGATCCACAGTGAGATCCAATAACGAGCTAATATTCAAAATCAATTTTCTCGAAGACGAAGTTTATGACAGAATCAGCCTGTATCCGATTGTACCATCAGTTACATACACTATATAATAATTATTTATAACTTCTACCATGAGGATACAAATTTATTTTGCATAAAAAAGTCAACATTCAATAGCAACACTTTATCTCCTCCAACTCGACTGGCAAGAAAACAAGAGAAAAAACTGATTACCTGAAATGTTCACACATTCCCATTTGCCATGCAAACCAGGAAATCGAAAATCACGAAGCTACAATTACAAAAGAAACTAAAACAGAGAACACAGTGCATCAATGAAAACATAATACACACACCATCGTTGTATTTCAGTAGGAATTACCAATGGACACCAGTACCAAAGCCGAACCGTACAAAATGAGGAGACCCATGCTCTCCCTAGAGCAGCGGTCTGAAATCGCCCAGCACTTGGAGAGCGGAGTGTCCACGAGAAGATTAGCCGCGGAATTCGACATCCACCCGACCACGGTCCGCCGCATCCGGCGGAACGCGGACATGGTGACGCAGTACCTGGAGGAGTTCAACCACGGCAAGAAAAAGAGACGGAATTTACGGAAGCCGCTTCACCAAGAAGTGGACACCCGACTGCACGCTTGGGTCCTGGACCGGAAGGCCGAAGGGCAGCCTGTAACCGACGTGATGATGACAGCGAAAGCCGTGGAGATCAACAAAGAACTCGGCGGGTCGCTGGAGTTCAAAGCCAGCAGAGGCTGGCTCTGGACGTTCAAGAACAGGCACCGTATACGCAGCCACTTCCACAGAAAGAAGGCAGACCCTAACGCGGCGGTAGCGCAAGCCTTCGCCGACCGGTTCGTCCGTCAGATAGAGGAGGAGGGGATCGAGTACGAAAATATTTACAACATGAACGAGACTGGTCTCGTGTGGAAGGCGCTTCCGCTGAAGACCAAGGTGCAATGGGACGACCGAACGGTGAAGCTAGGCAAGCCCAACAAGGACAGAGTCACCGTAGGCTTCTGCAGCAACGCAACGGGCAGCCATAAGCACGCACCGTTGTTCATACACAGATACGAGACGCCCAGGTCGCTGAAACACGCGAAGCGCAAGCTGCCGGTGATCTACAAGTTCCAGGAGCACGCTGCGTTGGATCGGAATGTTTTCGTCGACTGGTACCAGAATCACTTCAAACCGGACGTGATGAAGTATCAGTTGCAGAACGGCACGTGCGGAAAGGTGATCCTCGTGTTGGACGATTCTAGGTCGTACACCAGCGAAATCGTCGAACAGTTCAAAGGCGACGAGAGGTTCGAGATTGTGCTCCTACCGCCGCACATTAGTTACTTACTGCAACCTATAGACACCTTGATCTCGAAGGCTAAAGAGTGTTATCACTACAAGATGTCGAATCGAGTGGCGAGCGTCAGCGAAGACGTTAAGGACTTCTGCGCTAACTACGATCTCAAGGAATGTATTTATTTGTTGTACGAGGCCTGGTCCGAGATTAGCGTCGCCGACGTAAGGGGAGCGTGGAGGTGTCTCATAAAAGGAATTCCGGAAGCGCTGAAAGCGGAGGATGACTTTTTCGAGTTGAACGCGAGTCAGGGTAAAAGTGGGAACAGCGACGAGAGGGAACCGACCGACGGAGATCTCGATTTCGCCTCGGGACAATTGACTAACGATATCGGTCTGAAAATTAGCGAGGTGACGTCGTTGTCGAGCGAGGTGATCGACGAAGAGAAAATGATCAAGGCGTTCGATATATTAACGCTCTGGTCGAGAACGGAATCGAGTATCATTGAATTTAATATAAAGTGTTTGAAGAATTATTATTATGGACGAAGGTGACGCCTGGTAATGCACGTTGTGACCGTGACTGTGTGATATATTGTATTATCAGTGAAGTTCCAGATGTGCTCTTAATTAATTAACTATGATAGTTATTGATATTTGTACTATCCGGGGAAGCTTCCTTCGATGCGAGAGAATATTAATTTTTATATTCATTAATAAAAGTGATAACTTAATCGAATCGTTGTTTCATTACGACTCCTTCAGTTCTGAGCGTCTGAAATGAATTTCCGTGGATTTGGTTCAGAATCCACTCCACAGTTTACTTCACTCGTCTTTCAATTCCTCTTTTATATCACACCGTTTCTTGTTTACTTAAAACTTCCTCTATCCATCTCTCAATATCCTCTGTTACTCATTATCTATTTTCACAAAAAGTCTTGAGCAGGGCGAGACGGAAAGTCAACATGCCGTCGTCGAAAGAGAAACTCACGCCAATTGCAATATTAAAGCTTCGCTTTCTTTTATTGTATTCTTATACATAGCCCGAGTATATTAATAATCTATATGTATATATATATAATATATGTATATATATTCATATATTTATATTTTATATTCATATTTATATAATAGTATGTATATCCTCGTCGCGTGTAGGCATGTTCACCGTGTTCCATTGTCGAGTTCCATCGAGTTTACAACAGTCTGTCGTGTGTGTGTGTGTATGAGAGTATATGTATGAGAGTGTCTCGTGGTTCCTGCGTGTGATTCACAGTGTGTGCGTATTCGTCTATGCGTGTCTATTTATATATATACTTATATACAGTGTTCGTCGCTTTTAAATATTTCAATATAACATCGTCAACCAATAATTTATTTCGCTTAAGCTACACATACGGGGGTTCGCCGTACCATCACCCCCCCGCCCCTCTTTCTTCACATTTTTCTTTTTAGGTATTATGCACGCATCGCAAAACTGCATTCTCGATTCATACTTAAATCTTATCACGCCGTATCTCTCGTACTTTCCCATGCACTCTTGTCTCACTATCGCAACCACACGCACGCTCGCTTCCTTTTTTCCCCTTTTTCCTAATTAGTTAACACGAAATCTCACTCGTTAAACAGCTCTCGAAGACTAAGGACACCCAAAGCGGATCACAGTCTGTCTCTGCACTCGTCGAATCTTAGCCAAACTCCCGGAAAGGAAATCGTAATCAATAGGAATTACAGAGGTCACACAAATATCTCCGTTTCGTCACGACGAACCCCTCGATTCTTGCTCGGTCAACGCTGAATTCATTCGACGGTTTCAACACTAGAACTACCAAGCGATCGAATCGGTTATTTAGTATTCTCTCTTTTCCTATAAATTGCAAGTCTTATCGGTGTCTCGATCGACTTCAATGTGGTTATTATTAAATTAACTTATCGTAAGAAAGGAATCAAAATGGGTCGTTTTGACCCGTCCGGTAGATCTAGTGTTAACGTATCAAGACAAGTGTATCACTGTTCCCATATTGGTTGAAAGGTTGCGTTAAAAACGATTTCAGTTGAAAGAACAGAGATCCGGAATTTCTTCTAGTTTTAGAGTGGAATGAGATTAGATCATTGAACGTTGGGCGCATCGAAAGATAGGTACCAATTAGTAGCGATGACCTATTCAGTGACGATTTTACGAAAGATCCGGCAACGATTCGAGATTCATCTAGACGAAATGTTGGTCCAAGAATGAACTTAGGATTCGATAAGCTCCAGTGTTCGACGAAAGATCCTTAGAGGGACTTTGCTTATTTAACTTTATGTTAACCCTTTCCCGACTGTGTCCCTTGAAAAGTCTTTAAAATACGACACGCAACTGTAGTCTCGAAATGGAAAAAGAAAAAGTTAGCATCATAGAGTTCCCATTTTACTGAATGTTCTAACTATTGAATGTTTTTTAATACGCCTCTCTGAGCGGTCGCCGTTGCTCATCGTCAAAACGGTAATATTAATATATTAGTGGAAACTAACGGTACCTCTAAATGGTGAACGGTAAATAGAGAGAGCTTGCTTCCATTATACTAGTCTCGCTCTACGAATATGAAAGAGATTGTATTGAAAGGGTTAAAATGTGTGTGTGTGTGTGTAGATAGTATTTGTTTCTGTACTGGTGTGAAGTTTATGCTTAATTTACGTAGGCGTAGAGTAGAATTGAACACTGGAGGGTTCTGCTCCTGAAACCTATTCGCTATCGTTTAAAAGTTTTGTTTATATATTTACATACCAGGACATCGAGCGATTCGGGGCTCTCGAATTAAAAACAAAGTAGAAGAACAAGTAGTAGAAAAAAGAGACGATGAAGAAGAAGAAGAAGAAGAAGGAGAAGAAGAAATTTCTTTGGACGCAATTTCGTGGCATTTTCGATCGATTCGATCGCGTCTGAATCACGGACACTTGTTATTCTTCGTCTTAAACGGTAATTCCACTGTGACAAGTCTTACGAGAAAAAGCGACTTTAAAGATTGTCTGAATAAACGAAGACCGGATTATCGTTCGACTTTCATTTGAAACATTATCGAAGGATTCTCTTCTCGAGATACTAATTAGTGATTACACATTATCGCTTGCTATACGTTGGAATAACTGTGTCTAAATATGATGATAGCGTGTATAATGGTCGTATGCACGTGAATTTTGCGCGACTTTAATATGCGAGACGTTAACGTCGACTTTCGAAACGGCGAGCCCGGAAGTCCGCCGAGTTTCTCTTTTATATATCGTTATATGTTCGTAGTATCGTCGAACAGAGTGATCAAGGAAACAAGCAGAATCGATAATGAAGAGAATGAATTGGTCGTTCCTGGTAAAACCTGATAATCACCCGTTCAATCGAACGATACGAAATGATATGCCAAAGTGTTCCGATACTCTGTTGTATCGATGTTGAGAACGATCCGTCGATTTAGTTCAGTATAGTTATTGCATCAGATGGTAAGTCGTATACGCTGCAAAAATCGTATAAAAAACATCGAGACAACCACTCGTAAAAAAGGCAACGACGTTTCACGGAGAAAAATGGAATTAGAAGTCTTCAACGGTTCATCAACGGTTTAAAATTGTAAAATGGCAGTTATTCGTTTAACGGTCGGTCCAGTCGCTAGTCTATCCTCCACGGCAGCAGCTATTATCCGTTTCGACATACCCTCGATCCTAAGCTAATTGAATAAATACTGGAAGAAAGAAGTATTCCTAGGCTAGTGCCGTCCCGTCGCAACGATGACTGCTTCGCCCCTTGATAGGCCTTGCCGAGTAAAGCATTAATAACTAGACGCACCTGCCCGCCGCAGCCTGATCCTGAAGTTCTTTGTAAAACATACGACTACGAACGAAACGTACAAAATGTAGAACACAGAGGGATATTACGTTAAATACGATACGAGACTAGCGATAAACGAGTAAAATCAAATCGTCTGAACGAATACGAGGCAAAGGTAGAAGTGTTACGTATGAGGTAACGGTTCGCGTATCAGGCTAGGCAGAAGTGTCGCGTTTAACGAATCGCCTAACTTTCTAACTAGCTTGCGACTGTATCACTGGAGCACCTCTATGCAATACTGAAGCAGGTCTGGATTTACGGCCGCCGGTGGGAGCTTGGAGATTCGCTGGCGGTTGTAACTGTTGCTGATTTATCTGCTGCACTATTGCCGACTCCCTTTTTGGTACTTCCGGTGGCGACTGCAGCACGTCCATGTATTCGCGAATCAGATTCGCTATTTGGTGTGCCTAAAATGATACAATAGAGTAAATTATAGGTTTGAATGTCTCTTAAAATTTATGTATAATTCATATTTAGACGTTATATAAATGATCATATTACTATTGTAATATTCTTACTCCTATTGTAACGGTTGCAGCCATTTTTAGTTACTACATAAGCTAACGGTGCGCCATTACTTTTCTGTTTCACTGTGGCTACCGCAGGTGTGTTATATTTAATTTACCTGAGACGTGGTTAGAATGACCTTGCTCTGCTTCTTATCAGTACCAGTGATAATCATCAAACAACTAACAGCTGGACTATAACTGAGAATACTGCTATATTCATAGGTACAAAGAGCGTTCCTGGAACGGTGTTCCAAAAGATGAAGACCTTGCTGATCGACGGCCAACCAAAGAACGCGTGGCCAGTTCGAGGTGAACGACTGCATCACGTCGAATATCGTGGCCCTGTGCAGCGGCCATGATTGAATTAAATTTAAGAACGCTTTCTTCGCCTCCGGGGGAGTCATCCCTCTTAACGACTGGTGGTGTTGGAGGACACCTTCTACGCATAAACTAGGTACAAGTCTCGACGGCAGGCAGTGACTTGATATAGTGCGGTAGTCGTGATCGAATACGGGGTCCTGACAATCGCCGAGTTCTAGCTGAGCTTGCAACGCTGTCAGCATCATCTGAAAGCAGAAGAGATTTAATTAGATTCTGTTCATTTAACCCTGTAACCCTCCTTGATTGATCTACGCATTTGAAATGTTTCCAATTCCTTACAGCCTCTTTCTCGGTGATTGGGAACCGATCCGCGCGCAAATCGTGCAATACTTGGTGATACAACAACTCCTTCTCCACTGGATCGTCGAGATTCATATACTGATCAAGGAACAAATGTTTCTTAAATAGGAAGAAGTGGTGTGCGTGTTTCCTCTGCGATTGGTTCTGTTGTGCGTTCGCTGTCCTGTAACGTTCCCACTTGGACATTACGTCTGCGATTTTCTCCTCTGGTATCAGCGCCCTTTCGGTTGCCCCTAGGACCTCGTATATAGCGTAACCTGTCAATTATACATAATGTGTTCTCAATAATCTGGCTTCGATACGAATGAACTGTAAAAATTAAACTACTAGATTTCGTGCATTAAAATAAAGTTCGAGTGTGCATGAAGATTCATAATCTAGTAATAATATGCTCTGTAACAATCACCCATTGCTGTTTCCTCAAGGCCGATCTTGGCCTTGATGATCTCCATCACGTCCCTGGCTGTCGCCGATGGATGAAACTCAACGGCGTGATACTGTCCATCCATAAAGTGGAATCTCGCGTAGATAGGCCTGCGATTGATAGTGCACATTATCTCCTCCCTGCTCGGCGGCCATTGTCTCCTCCTTGTGCCCTGTGTTTTGTAAAGGCACTTTTCAGCAAACCGAGCGTACTTGCCCTCTTCCGTGACGTAATCGCTGGCACACCGTTTCAGATGAGCAATTAAATACTTTCGAATAACTTTCTGTGGCGGCAGAATGACGGAGCAGGCCAAAGAGAGCAACGCCCAGTGCCTTAGGTTCACCCGGCTGTTAGGGTCAGGATGATCTGTGGTCTGCTTAATTAATTGCAAATACAGTTCGCCTAGTAAATTCTCCTTCCTTATACAACGCTCCATAACTGTTTGTATGAGATTCACGTGCTCGTCCTCTACCCTCCTCACAGTGTCCCCGTTCTGTCCTAGACCCGCATAGGTCAATATCAACTGGAAAACACTGAGGCAGATCTGCTCGTCCGGATCGGGCAGCTTCGATAAACTCTGCGGTATAGCTTGCCTGCTGAACGCCCAATAAGCGTAGGGGAATCCTTTGTAAGTCTCGCCGTGATCGGTAGCACTGCCGTGTTCCTGCCTGAGCTTCTCTATTCTGTGCTTGGACAGCCTCCTAAGAGTGTTCCTCAAAAATCCGCCACCCGAATCCTGCGGTTTCCTCAATATCTCCGCGTCGACAAGCGTTCGCCGAGAATTTACTAAATTGTGGTACAGCCTAATGCGATCTTCGTTAGTGATGCATTTGAGTTTCTTCGTGGGAACCTCGTTCTCGGTGATCCAGCCGGCTAGCGCCGGGCAGTAGCTCACGATTAGACTGCCGATCTCGTTCTTCTGGGCTGTTTCGAACACGAAACATTTGTGTGAGCTGTCCGGATTGTGTCGGAGGAGCGACAAAGTGATGAAGCAGTCGCTTGGATCCAGCATGATACTCTCCACGTCCTGGTAGCGGTACTCCGACAAGACGAATTTGTCGTCCGGCTTGATCAGCATCAAACCGTCGCAATTAATGCCTAGGATCAGCTGATTCCCGTAAGACCAATATCCCCGATAGGTGACGTTGAACATCGTGGTACCGTACAGTGGGTACTGCATCACGCAGGATAGGTACAACACTTTGGCTGCGAGTTCTTTCCGGCCAGCGCCGTATTGCCTGTGCGCCTGAGCTATTATTGGCACCCAGACGTCGTCGCCGCGGGCACGGCTTATTCGATAAGGCAAAAAACTATCGACCTCGCTGTAGTAGTCCAATCGATCGTTGTCCTTCGGATCGCCCAGAGAGACTTGCGCTTGCAGACCTGCCAATTGGAGCGCGACCTTCTCGGACACGGGAAAGTCGTCGCACTGAAAATTTAGGATTGTCGTTTGATAATCACAGCAACTGGATAGAATGTTTCAAATATTCTAGAATCGGAGCGATGTAGAATGTACCTTTACGACGTTATAAACAGCCTGAGCGTACAGCATGTTCACTTCAACAGGATCTTGAGAAATCTCTCGAGTGTTGCGGAACAATCTGCGTTTAAAAACGAATCTGTTGTCGCCGCTGCCCAAGGTGGCATTGTTGCCACGTCGCAGCGTTGAGAAAGTGGACTGCGCTGTATTTAATTTACATTGCTTCCTAAAAGTATATCGTAACTTAGTATTGCATTATATACTGCTTATTTAAAATAATTAGACTGCGGATCTGTATGCGAACTCAAATTTTCAAGAATATAGTTAGAAAAACGGAGTTACAGAATATCATTTTTCCTAATGAACACTATAAAAATCACTACGTTTTGCATGTATTATATATTTTTCTGAATTCTGTGCATCCTGCGCAATTTTGCACTTTGAAATTTCATATGAACGCATAAAAATCCGCAGTCTAATAATATGTCAACAAATCATACATTTCCCAAGCGGCTATGACGTCATACAAGTAGTCGTGTGCCCGGACGTGCTCCTCTCCGTCAGGCCTACTCTGATAAATCGCCCATCCTTCCAAAGACCGCAGGCCTAATTTTTCGCCTAATTTTGCGACCGCATCCGCAGCCGTATCAGTCGGGTGAACGTCAATGGCTTTAGTTCTACCATCCAGGAAGAAGAACCGGCACACTATGGTGCCTAATCGTCTCATCGCAGCGATTTCCACCGTTGACGGTGGATGCTGTCTACACGAGACCTTCATGTTTTTACAATTATCCACGCACCATTGTACGTACTGCCTCAGTTTCCCTTCGAGGGCTAGGTTTTTCTTCAGGAAGGACACAAAATACTTGTACAGCAATTTGCTGGGTTGGAAAGCAACGATCGCTAGGCACAGTAGTAGCCAGACTCGTTCTGCCCATTCTGGATTAGGATTGTTCGTTGCTTGGCGCATGCACTGAACGAAAATTTCATCTCGTAACTCTTCACGCTCTATACCGTAACCAATTATGCTTTGAATGGTTGCAATCTCTTGATCCAGCTTCATCTCCCCTCTAATGTACTTGCAGAGATCCTGAACATCGTGGGAATAAAGTTACAAATTAACTGCAGCCTCATAAATAGGATATTCGAAATAATTAAAATATATAAATATTCATTGTTAATGTTATCCAAAATAATAGTAGTAAATTATGTATGACACTAATTGCTTACCCTGAACACCGAACAGGCTACATTAACATTGTCAGGGTCGTACATATGTATGTGGGAATTGGGTATTGTAGATCCCTTGTAGTATGTGACCATCTCATATTTAGGGATGTACTCTACACTCTTGCCGCGCGATTTTCTGGTGAGCGTAGCGATTATCGTTCCTTCGGGAGATCTTTCGTGACTGTTGAAGTAATTCTGCGCGAACTCCACGATGTCGTGATAAGTGACTTCGTTGTCAGGTTCCTTTTTATCTTCCAGTTCTTGAAGCTTGCGTTCCACTCTACACTTTCGCCTCTGTTCACGCTCGACCGGTGGCTGCTGAGACTGCTGCGTCTGTTGCTGCTGTTGATCATGGCCGTTCTGTTGCTGCTGAGGCACTGGTTGATGGTGGCTATTGTGATGCAGGTGGTGACTGTTCGAGTTTCTGGACTCTGGCCGAGAAGGTGGACTGCCAGCGATTTGCTCCTTGACCTTGTTGTTCGGCAAAGGAGGAGGAGATCCACAGGAATCGCCGTTCACCAATGGCCCGGAGTTTCCGTTCACCACGATAGGACTGCTGGGACTGTTCTCTTCGCGCGGCAGAACTGATTCATAAATTGGTTCCCCATTGTCCGTGGATGAGTCTCCATTCATGGCTAGAGGTGGAGCAGGCGGTGGCGGCGGCGGAGGAGGTTCGGTGGGTTCTGGAAGACTCGGTTGACCAAGCTTGCTAGCGTTTCCACTTGCGATCCTCTGTTGCTGAGGCTGCGATTGCTGCTGAGGCGGCGAAGGAGCTTCCTGACCGTTAGGAGTGTTCGCTTTCGACTCGGTCTTCGAGTTCATCTCCATTTCCATCTGTATCACGGTCTCCAACTCCACGTCAAGGTCTTCCACTAACTCATCCATTTGTTCACCGATCTCTTCGATGATCTGATTGCCCTTGGTTGACTGCACATCCGAAAGGAACGAGAACAGATTGTCCAGATCCACCGACTGCAAGTCCGAGGCAGCCATTTTGGAGTTCATTTGCTCCGCCATCTGCGACAGCGCGGCGATTTCTTCTTGCGCTTTCCTGGAAAATCGAATCATTCTTATGCGACGCTGAACCTCGAGTGTTAGCGAGTAGCTTTAGGGTGTAGGAGCACAGATTAGACGTGGAAGATTGTAAGTGCTGATGTGCGTATTACACTAAGCTCTGTGACTATGTTAAATGCGATTGATTATTGTTGCAGAGCTTATCATGCGGCTAGGGCTCTTAGATTCCTCCTTCGAACTACAGACAAACTTACCCAGGCTCCATCCCGACAATACCATTGTACTGTGCGCTACAAGGGACACAAATGGAAAATTAACCCACAAAAGTGCCATTACCCCATCCGAACGTCACTGTATTTTGCATACCGGAGTAAGTGTATAGAACCTAGGATGCTTGGAATGTTTTATCATATAATCTTTGTCGTACGGATTTTTCTAATGCACTACTATTTTTCGGACACCATGATACGATAAAACTTTCCCAGTACTCAACGCGCCTTTATGCAAAATATAAACAAGCCCTGTACCTTTGACTCTCCTCTAACGCTTTCTTGTCCTCCATGAGCCTTCTTTCCTCTTCCAGTCTCTCCCTCTTCCTCATTTCCTCGTCCACCCTTCTCATTTCCCTCAGGGCAGTTGCCACTTCTCTGGCGAAAACACCACGCAAATGACTCTGAATGACAATCGCTGCCCTCCGCTTCCGGATGAACATTATTCTCAGCTTCCAACCTCGATAGGCGTGCTGTACTTTAAGCGCAGCGTCTCTGATGCGTTTATATTCTACACAAAAGTACAAACTTAATTAGCCTCAGCCATCAAATAAATCATATAAAAAGCCACGCATGCCCGGACAAACTGTACCTTTCCGTACAACGTAGGCTCTCCAAATCTTCTGTATCATTATCGCGTTACTAGTGACCATCTGGTTCCTAGAGTCTTCCAGAGGCTCGTGCACGTAGCTCCTCAAGAATACCTTGCTCTTACCAATCTGCCATTCAGTCTCAGGAATACCTTGGCTGCTGATCAAACATCTAACAGCTTCTTTGTCGTCGTCGAATCGGGGTATGTGCCCTCTGTCGAGACACTTGTACCTAGCAACGAAGTCATGGAAGGCCATGTGTATCGGGAAGCCTTCCTTCCTAATCCTAATGATATCCAACATGCCCAGATACTTGAGCTGATCAAGGACCAGCTTCTCGTCGTAGTGGTTCGCTGTTTTCTGCATGTTAGGCTTGATGCATCTCGCGTACCAAGGTGTGGTAGCTTGGAGAACGTCGACCAGGGCCTGCAACTGATGTCTGAAAGAGTCGCAAAGGGTCGGCTTGCCTTTGGACGTCCCGCGGGACATCGTCGTCGCGTTTCCACTGGCCCTAGCCACCGTGCAGCCCAAGAGATCTTGGTAGACAGTGATCTCCTGGACGAACTCGTTGGTGCTTCTCGACATCAGGTCGAAGAAGACGTCCTGCTGCACATCACGATTCTTGTCCACGAATCCCTCGACCGTGTAGGTCACGCAACCGGCGTAATGCTTCACGCCGAACTCCTTCTCCCATTTGCGGCGATCGTCGCCCTTCACGTAGCAGGGATGGTTCTCGAATTCGGCGTGCAAATTGGTCAGGTAAGCTAGGTCCGAACCCTTCGGCATATGGCACTGCTCGGTGAGTAACTTAAGAACACACCGCGGAGGTTTCTCGATTAATTCCAGGCACATGGTGTTGTCCGTGAAGGTGATATGGGAGTATTGGATCTCTTCCTGTCGGTACTGAAATTTGAAACGACAAGACGTCAGGGTAATTGGCTCGAATATTAAAGGGAAACGGTGTGTTCTCGCGGAGGATTCGTCGACTTTCAGTTTATATTTCAAACTTCTAGTGAAAATACTTCAATTGAAATGGAACGTTAATACTGTAGGTGATAATAGAGTATCGGCACAGTCGTCGGCAACTGTACTGAAATAAATCAAAACTAATTAGATTTAAAACGCGTCGACCTATTTTCCTAAACAAGCTAACGCTCGCGTGAACCGATTGCTCGGAATGGAAAAAAACCCGGGAGACCACTTACGAGCTCTTGTTCCAGCGCGAATACGTAGTGATTGAAAAACTTGTGGAGCTTCTCGTTAGTGTAATTGATACACAGTTGCTCGAAACTGTTCACCGCGAAGTTCTCGAAGCCAAATATATCGAGGACACCGAGAAACCTGGAGCTGTCCTGGCCGGGATTCGTGCAGTTGTTGATGTGGTTGATCAGCCAGGCGAACGTTCGCGAGTACAACGCTTTCGCCATCGCGTGCCTGTTTTCACGGGCTTCCTGCACTTTCAATGGTATCTCGGTGATGTTGCCCCGCACGTTTATCTGCCTTATCAGCACCACCTTCGTCACATCCTCGAGCTGGAGGCCGAGCAACGGGGCGACCGTGCCGACAATTTCGACGTCTTCCTTACTTAACTCGCACCGTTCCCCGTCAACGTCCTCGAAACTTAAGTTCCCCAACCAGAGAATGGCTGACAGAACTCTGAAGATACCCTCGCACATCTCTGGCGCGACCTAGAAACAAATGGAACCGACTCGGTTAGACGGCGACAGGAACTCGGAACTTTCATTGGATCTTCTCCTTTTCTTTCTATAATTTACCAAGGAAAGATAGTTTGCACAATTTCAATCCCCTATTTTGACTAGCGAGATACTTACGCAAACATCGATCTTCCACGAGCATTGCATTCACTTTGAATATTTATTTAAAAACCTTCGAACTCTTGTAATAATACATAGTTATCGCGCGAGTAACTTTCGAAGTTTCTCGATTTTGTTTCCGTCGAATGTTGAAACAAAGAAATGTTACCTGAAGCACGTTGAACGCGAGCCTCAGCGCGTCGAGCTTCTTCGAGTCAGAGATCCCGTCGATCTTCACGCAACCAGACTGATTGAGATACTTGTAGTGGCTGGCTGGCAACAATTTGTACTGTTCCGCGAATTCCTTGTCCCTCGTGCCAGCCTCGACCAGCTGATAGAACACGTGGTAGTTCCTCTCGCCGGCGCTCTGGAAAGTTATACGGCTCTGCTCGAGCAGGTAATCCTGAATGATGCACCCTTTGATCATCCACTTGCTGTCGAAGCAGACCTGCATGAACTTGCCGAACCGGGAGCTGTTGTCGTTTCTCACCGTCTTCGCGTTACCTGGTTTCGAACACGGAACTTCGTTACGTAACTGACAGATCCCTTGGTATATCATCGACGAAACAATACAAGAAAAGATTTTATTTTTATTTTCCAGCCCGTTCACCCCGGAGGACTATTTTTATCTCGCTTCACGGTTTATGATGGAACAGACTGGAATAACGGAGCAGACACGGTGTAATTGGTACCAGTGACTTTTTAATGAACCTTTCGCAGATTTCGGCACTCATTAAGGCGACCAAAACTTCTAAGGTTGACAGCATGCTAGTGGTTCTCAATTTATATCAATCCTGAAAATCCTTGCCGATCGCTAACGGAATTTCCTGTCTTCCCATAGAATATCATTCATTTCCCTCATGCGAATAAATGTTTAATATCTAACGCGTCAGTTTATCCCTCACTGTTCAGTTGCGAATTTAACACGAAATCTAAGGTTCATCTGAATTAACGTTTCTCGCTGCAAACGTTAATCAATTAAATTTGTACGCACTACAGTCTAATTGCCAGTGCACTCTTTCGTTTATCTTCGTCCCAGCTTTCAGTTCAATCCATCACCGTGGTGCATTGAGTGCAGCGATTGTCCGAGGAGTACAAAGGGGTCGGTACTAACGAAAAATATATTTCCGCGACGGGGACGATGTTTCGCGTGTTCCGCGCCGCGTCGGGTCGCCCCGCGAGGGAAATGCAAACGGTACAATTTTTATGATAACCCCTCGAATCTTTCTTCCACCGGCGTGACCCAGTTCCGCGCCCCTCGTTTCTGCGTTTAACACCTGACTCGCTCCTCGGCCTCTTGACTCCGCGTAATGAATCCCCTTTTATTTTTAAATGCCATTAAGAATAGCGTTCATCGACCCGTTTCATGAAAGCCGCCCGGCTGTTTACGTCAGTCTATTTTCGAGGGTGCCCGGTTTAAAACGGAGCACCCCCGGAATATCCTCCAAAAGTATTTCCGAGCCGGCTGAACACACTTCAGAAAGAACGGTTCCGAAACGACGAACGCGGCGACGTCTTAATCAACGGCGAACGAAAGTCAGCAAAAAATCCGTTCCGGTTAAATTTGTTCGACGAACAGAAGTCAGGGGCGGGGAGAAAGTTATCCAATTTATAGAGTTGACCTCTAATTAACGCGGGACTCATTTAGAATCTTTCGAAAGTCGCCGGTAAGTGGACTGTATTATGCACGACGGAGGAAAGTGATTTCATACTGTTCTCTCTTTGTTCCATTAATGACCACAGATTGCAAACTTCCAACGATTACGCAATTGTTCCGCAATTTTCTTTCATACCTTTCGAACGCAATCAAAGTACAAACACGAAACAAAACCTCGAGTTTCCAGATCCACTGGAATACCGGTACGAACGGAAATTCTAAATCCTTGACAACAAAAATACGTTTCGCCCCAGCGCATCCAATTTCCAACCCCTGCAAAGTGCAACCCTCCTAGTGGAAGTTCCATTTCGATGTAAATAAAATCCCGAACAAATCAAGTTCTGATTACCGTCGGTCGCCGAGAAGAAAAATACAAAAAAAATGTGGTCATGGAAAACTGTTAACCCCTCGTAACCTCCGTTCGTTTCGCGGGGAAAGAGGGGCTTGTGCGTTCCAATGAAATTTCCGCGGAATATCGCGAACGGGAACGAGGTGATGCACACGCTTCCGCAACGGCGCGCGGCGCGAGCCGAAATATCGAGAGCGGAGTCCGTATACTGCGGGGTTTAATATAATTAATTGGCGATTGGTTATTAACGGCAATAATTACCGAACGCTTCGAGAATGGTGTTCGCCTCGAGGATCTGCTGTTCCACCCACGTGTCCACGTTGCTGGTCACCGAGCACAGGTACTGCAGGATGAATTTCGTGGTCTCGGTCTTGCCCGCGCCGCTCTCGCCGGATATCACGCAGGATTGATTGCTCTCGGTGTCTTGTAGCGACCTGTACGCCGCCTCCGCCAGGGCGAACACGTGCGGCTCCAGGGAGCCCATCTTTTGTCCATGGTATCGATTCACGTACTCCTGGAGAACCAACGGAAAAATGTGCTTCAGAGGAGGTTCCCTTTGCATCTCGTGCACACGGCCGGACGAATTCTATTTTGAGTGTTTCTTTGAACACACTCGAAACTGTGCTAACACAGGGTAAAAGGCGAACGAAAGTTAGAAGTCGGGGTGGAATGCGAGAAAAACGGAAAGCATTCAATATGAAACGCTTCTTTAACCCTTAGCAGTCCTGTGTCGAGTCTGACTCGACATTCTATTTATTGCGACCTCTACCTTTTAACAATTTTTTCTATGTTTATTCGCAGTATCACAACTGTACCATTTAACATTTCAACGACTCCCAGATATTCTTGAATAAATAAATGGAGCGTCGTATTAAGCTGTAATTGAATGAACTAACGTCGACGCGAACCTCAAAGTGGGAAACCAAGAGCACTTCGGATAAGGGTTAATTATTTGCTTTGCACGTTTGAAAGATTCTTAGTGGAACTTCAGATTTGTCGTGGGATTGACAGGAAGTGAGAATTGTGGAAGGTGGTGCTGGAATAAAGTGATGATAAAAGTAATTCGACCTACAGATATTTATAGATTTCGTTTCGTTACGAATAAACGAAGATACGCGAGCCGTTAACGCCGAAAATATAACGATGGAAGGATACAACAACAAATAGTATGAACAATGATAAAGTTACGCGCGTTAATGCGCCTGGTTTATTAGGAACATAAAAGAAAATTGGAATTACTGGCGGAACGACCCGCAACGGCGGGAGACGGCCAGCACGGGGCCGACTGATAAGATTGATTCGCGAACAGATAGGTCACTTTATGGCAGCCATAAACGGGGTGCCCGATTCGAAATCGAACTATCGAGACGCACGCCTTTCCGAGCCGCGATAGCGTCACCCAAGGGAACCGGTAAATGAAAGGGGACGACGAAACACGAACGTCCCTATCGAATCGAATCGCGTTCGCAATTAATCGGGTTACCAGGGTCGTTGCGCCCACCCCCTCCACCGCCGCCCTTAATTCAAACCTTCTATTGGATCATCGGAATCTGTTTGCCGCGGCCGGCCCGTTCGAAACAGTAATTAAAGCTAATGGAAACTGCGGGGCGAATGTTTCTGTCGTCTGAAAAATCGAACTGTCTCTTATTTTGTACACTCTGTGGAAACAACAAAAAAGAGCGCCGTGGAAAGAATGGTATCGTATCTTTATAGGTACTTGTTCCTCGTAAACCGAATGTCTGCCAGGAACTCGATTCTTTTCTGTTTGATAAATATTCATGAGCATTCAGCTTCTACAATGCACCCCAATTATATCAGCCTTATGTTCTCTGTGTAATGTAGTTAAGCATTCGTTTTACGCCTGTTACCTCGAGAAGAAATGAAAGATGGAGATTTATATTCGCAATAAATGAAACACACTTCATTCCCAGTCATATCATAGCTTTTACAAAGGTACTACAAATTATAACTTGGATGATATATTCCAAAAGTAGTTAAACTCGTATGTATCAATGAAAATACAACTATCAGAAACTCGGAAAACCTATTGGAACATTGTAACGAGTTTAATAAACTACAAATCATAAGAAACTTCGATAAACGTATATTTCAAAGAAGTAATTAAACTCGTTGTGTATCAATGAAAGTATTCGAGCTATCGGAAACTCGGGGAAACCTATTGGAACAGCGAGTCCATCGCGAACCGAGTTCACCCTGTCTTAAAAATTCCATAATCTTTTTAACAACGGGAAACTTCACCCCGTCGGGTGCCGCGACAACTCATAACCGGCGCAACGGTGCATTATGCACGCTGCACCCGAAGAGAGCTCGTTGAGTCTCCGCGGCCAGAGCCAGGGCAGAAGTAGTGCAACCCAGTTTCGCGTCGGACCCGTCCTGCGCGCAACTCCGAGGGCGCAGGGAGCGTTAATCCCGGTGAACCGCGGTCGGCTCGTGAAAATTCATCGGCACGCCATCCCGATCCATTTCCACCGAGCCTGAGGCACAAGGCGGCCTTAACACGTTCGCTTCCACCGGGAAACCGTTAGCGACATGTCGTGCGCCACCGATCGCTACTCTTAACACGTTGACTGGCACGAAAATTTTTAGCGTTTTCAATAGCACTACTTGTTCTTTGATAACAAAGGCAAATGATGTTGAAAATAATTATTAACGGTTATGTTAATATAACCGTTATACGGTTATTAATATTCTTTAATAACAAAGGCGAATGATATTGAAAATTATTAACGGTTTAGTATCACAGTAGTCATATTACGCTGAGATCTAGCTACTTGTGTTACTAAATATTTTTACTTGAAATCGAGTTTTTTTATTGTGGTTGTCTTTCAGCAATTTGGAAGATTTCTAGGCTAATTGAACAACAATCAATGTTGTTCATTACCCACGGATCAAGGCGGACAACTACTTCGCTATTATCAATGTGTTATCTTCAAATGAAATTTCTTGAAGTAGAATGAACAATTTTGTTCCCTTACAAATTGAGAGTAGAATGCTGCACGAGCTCAGCGAAAGTGAATAATACGCCAAGGGGTTAATTACAGTGATTAGGACCAGTGAGCACTTAGCTGCGGTACCTTAACACGTTAAGTGCACGATTTCATAAAGAAAAATACTCGAAATGGGAAATATATAATATTGAATTATTTGATTGAATTGCATTGTTGTTATTGCAAGTTCGTCTAGCTGAGTGCCATCACATTACCTAGCATTATTTATAATATAGAGATGTTTTCAAATAATCATCTTTTAATTGAGTGAACTATAGTAATTCGATTTGATTCGAACTGTTTAACCCATTCTGTCCCAGTGTACTTGTTTACGAGTACTATATATCTTCTATATATAAGTTATTATTATATTCTGTAAGTTGCATATCTTCCGAACTGTCAAAATATTACAATCTTAGTAAAGAAAGTAAATAGTACGCCAAGGGGTTGAGCAGCCTACATATGTTGAAACATGTTGAGACTGTTGAATTTCATGAAACGTGCATCAGCGTCAGTTTATCTTCGCTGTACCGATTGTTTTCAGTTTGTCCTGTGATGGTTGCTTTCGACGAGCACACATTGTCGCGCGTATTTGAAACTTCGTTGCGTACACTGCGGCATGTTGAACAGTGTGTTGAGACTTTCAACCCTTTGCACTCGACAATATTCTTCATTAAAGATATTCATTACTTTCTGACTAAACATTAACGATATTTTTCGTAACTAACACAATTGATTATCTTCTATAAATTAAGAGACAGAACTATTTCACTTCGATGTTTTATGTGTTGATACATCACAAGGTTTAACCCTTTGCACTCCAGAAGTTTTTCATTAGAAACACTCAACATTTTTTAATCAAATACCAACGAGATTCTTTCAAACTGACTTAACGAGAAATCGCACGTAAATTAAAGAAAGAGGCTGTTTTATTTTATGTTACGTGTCGGTGCATTGTACGAAGTTCAATATTAAATGTCAAACTCTATAATTTTCCTGCGTCGAATCAATTGGCGACTGAGAGGCGCCTACGGAGTGCGAAGGGTTAATATTGAATTGAAAATTTTATAAATTTGCTCGAGTTCAAAGGGTTAAAGAGTAACACGTTGCTTTTGTTTTTCTTATGGGATTGAGGTAATAGGGTCGATCACAAAGGACGATCGAAGGTGAAACGTCATGGATCTCCGACGTTGCGACTATGAGTATTCCATGGTTATTAATCGATACTCGATGCTGATGCGTCATTGATAGAACGTCGATGCCTGGCACATGGAACAAGGCGTGCTACATTGACAAAACGAGGCCTCCATGCCTCTGCAGGTCCGTCTGCATGGTCACCGGGTCGTTTCGCTTCGACCCGACGGCGAAAGAGGGAGCGGTTCACGGTTTCCGGCGAGAATTAAGGAACGTTGACTCGTAAGTGCGAATGCAAATCAGGAAGAAATCCAGATTTCTATCGTGGCATACCTACTGTCGCTGTCCCACCGGGTATAAGTGAATACGATAAAACATGCAATACGAGAATCCCCTAAGTAGTTCAATTTAAATGATAATGGTCTGAAATGGAGCAATTTGAAGCTGGACGATCGCGTGATTAATTGATTCCAACGCTCTTTCAATTCACTATTTCCATCCAACTCCAGATCGAGGACAGAGGAAAGAATGTGCAAAATTCGACCTAATGTTCACTACTCCACGTTATTAATTATCTAGATTCTCGTACACACAGATATCAATTTCTCGAACAATGGATATATTCGAATTTTATGTATTTCCTATATTCAAGCACCCTCCAAGGCCCAATGAAAACAATCGGCGAATCCGATATGGAAACAGTATCGAATCCACCTCTCGTCGAACGCGTTTCATCCCCGTTTCACGAATCCTCGGACGGCTCCCGAAACGGTGGACGGACGTATGACGCGTTGATATTTCGGAGAATTAATTTTCGTGAGCGGCACAGCTGCGCTTCGAAAACGGGCCACCGGGATTCGCAATAAAAGCTAGATAGCACGGCGAGTGCTGTTCAAACAACCGTCTCACCGTTGAGCGTATGGCGTTAAAAACTGAGCGGCCGCGCTAAACAGCAAAACAATCGGAACTGAAGGAGGACGCATCGGTTCCTCCGCGGACCGGATGCGGTCCTGCTCCGCGATAAAGCGGAGGGACCCGCGCCGCGACGGCCACTTGGAACACGTCGCGCGTTTGCTATTCTTAAACGAGATATTTATTTTACAAAGAATTCGAGTCGGGGGCGGTAAGGTTTATCTGCCGGGCAAACAGCGGCCCTCGAGAGATAATTCCCTTCGAAAATAGCCGATAACGCCCGACCGCCGTGTTTACGCGGCGGCCATATTTGCGCAGCGTGTTTTACATGCGGCGTCCCGCTAGACCGGACGCTCGGGTGGAGGATCGAACGGTGAATAATACAGAATCTCTGGAATTGGATGCACGCGAGATGCATCTCGGAGCGGCTTCTGTAGATTGATGGTTTCTTTAGTCTGTA